CAGATGCGGCACTTTTGCGCTTATTGACCTCACCATCGAAGGGGAAATGGGCCTCATCAGTCAAGATGATTTTTCGAAGAAATTTCTTATCATTTTCATGCATCTCAAGAACACAATTAGCAAAGACGCAACGATTGATTATTGAAAATCGGCCGGCTTTAGTTCTTGCTTAACTGAACTTTATAAGCCTTAAGGTTCAAGTCTATATGCAAAATAGGATGTAATGACGTTCGATCGAACGGCAAAGAATGGTCGACCCACTTCGGGCTACAGCAGTTGCATTTTAAGTTGTTCTTGGGCGACGTGGACGGACTTAAGTAAATCAGCTTTAATGTTCCTCATGGAAATCTGCGCTCTCACTGTGAGTTTTATTTAGATGTAATTAAAGCCAATTATTACAGTTACGATGCTATTCTCAGAGCACTCTCTGAATTTAATAGAACCTCTAGAAGCCTTGATTTTGATTTCCTATTTGATTTGGCTCTATTCTTAATGCTTTTTATTCATAGCATACATCGAGGCGTGACAATTAGGTAATGATACTGACTCTTTAAAACCGTATATTTCAAAGTTATTCTAAAACTCTGCCATCCCCTTCAAAGTAGCCCCCCTAGACAGCTGTACAACGATTCCAGTGCGTTTTCCATGTTTCTTAACATTTCTGGAATGCTTCGACTGGGATGTACGCGAGTGCCTTTGTCACAGCCGCCTGGATGTCCTCAATCGACTCAAAATTGACCACCGATTTTGTTCTAGGAACAAAAAAACTCACATGCTGACATATTGGGCAAATAAGTCAGTTGTTGCAACACGGCGACTCCTTTTGAGGCCAAATACAGGGACACGATGAGGGCATCTTGTTGACTCTTTTTCGCAAACTTTCGAGTACTTGGCAATAGTGGACTTGATTTACGGTTTGTCCCGGTGGAAGAAATGCTTTGTGGACGATTTTTTGGCTATCAAAAAATGCTATAACCATCGTTTTCACCTTTAATTTGCTCATGCGAGCTTTTTTCGGGCGGGGGCATGCGGAGACAACCATCGTAACGCATTCCTCTTGATATCGTTTTGCCATTTTTGTGACGAGCACCATGAACACACGTTTATTCAACACGACTCAGCAGGCGAACTAAACAAGCTAGAGCGATGAAAAGTATGCCGGAAGAAGGGAAAGGGAATTTTAAAGTCGCAGGGTTACCACAATCAAGGTCTCATTACTTTATTGTAACACCTCGTATAATCTTCAAAAGCACTCGGTTGTTGACTGAACGAATCAGATTTGAAAACACAATTTGATAACACAATTAAGGGCAGAGAGTATTGCCTCAGTTAAGCAATAAAGTGTAGTAAATTGGGTAAATCAAATAAAGAGAAAAATGGGAGGCCAACCCTGCACTGGAGCGAAAGGTGTGCCATGTGGGGACAATCGCTTTGAGGATAATCTCTTTTTAGGGACTTTCATGTGGCAGCAGCGGTACTGTGACGACACAACGTTGATGCGGAAGGCATTTTGCCTCTACTCATGCCCAAAAAGAAAAAATAAATAAAAGACACAGTAGTACAACAACAATAAGTTACAAGTTTTCTCAACAAAATATCATTCACTTTTGAAGGTAGTTTCACTTATTATCAAATTGACAGACAAATATTTTTTGATATTAAATTACTAAAATAAAATTAAATATATATATATATATATTTTTAAAAATGCTATGCCGCCTGAAAAAATTTTATTTCCATTACATTTCAGAAAATACAGTGCAAAGCCTTTAAGTTTTGTTTTTAATTTTCTTAATTTTTTTGTTGACATTTTAAGGCTTAGCATTTTTTGTAATATATTTTTCTTTAATTTTAGAAAGATGAAAACTTAATTTTGAAAAATAGAAATTGGTTGCAAAGAAGTAAGGCAAATATTAAAAATCTTTTTTAGACAGTTGGTTAATATTTTAGAAAACAATTTTAAGTAAAACTGCTTGGTGTTTTGTGGGATGTTGGAAAAGTTGAAAAATTCCTAAAATTTTATCTTTATTTTTCTAAAGCTGTCAGTGCTCAGTTGAAGAATATTTTTCGCTCGAAATTCAAATAAATTCATTGAAAACGAGTTGGTTAATATTTTTGGGAAAGTTGAAGAATAATTAAACATATATAAGAAAATAACAACAGAAAAACGAACAATAATAAGAAATTGAATTTGTAAGTATTTGGGGTGCATAGTATTTGAAAATTCAAAAAACTAAAAAATTAACATCGCTCATTTATATTCAAAAACTATTCTAAATTTTTTATAAATTACTTTAATACTACATCAGAATTATTTTTAACTTACTTAAACTTATTTTAATTATTTATGTATATCCAAGTTTATATGTGCATATACATATATGTTATTAATCAAAAGTATACATTTCTACAGCCAAAATTTTACAAACTCTGAAACCGAACTGCCTTAAATGCTAGAAATATAATTAAACTAAATTTTATGACTACACTTAATTTTATTTTCAAAATAGTTTTTAATTATTTTCCTAATATATTGGAGAGTTTATACATTTAAACACGTAAATAAGCGAGTTAAAAAAATGCCGGAGCTCACATTTTCAAAGAAATGTTGTCGGAATAGGTCAAAAATATGTGTGGATCTCTGTTGAGATGAAGAAAATTAAAATCAAAAATTAATTTTTTGGTGAAATCTTGGTTGTTTGGTTACTTGCAGTGGTTGCCGAGCAGCAGCAGACTTAGGCCCTCAAACTGAGCTTTTGGGATGCCACTGAGTAGGATCGCAATGACTTCCATCCACTATTTAAACCAAACAGAGCAAACGTCGCAGTCTTGTGCACGCTAGCGCTTTACAGAGACTTCATTGTACTCCCAGAAAGTATGTGGCATTCACCAATAAAGTGCTAGAAAGATTCAGTTTGCTCTTCTTGTCTGCAAGTTCTGCAAAAGTCGTTAGGTGGCACGCCTAACCTAACTGCCGATAAAATATACCCTTCAAGAACAACTGTAACTGTTGATATATACTTCCTTTTATGTTCGATAAGTTAACGTGTCCTTCTTTTATCCCATTGTGGTGACATTATTCTGTTCACAGTACATACAGTGGGATTTCAGTAGCTTAAGTTGGCATCTTTGATGAATAACTCTCTTATGGTGAGCCTATAAATGGAGAGGCTGTGTCCAGACAACCACGACAGCTTCAAAATAAGTGAAATCTTTGATAAGTTTTCAAGGTGATTATTCAACCGAAATAAAGATTTGAAAAAAAAATAGCTAAGTTCGAGTGCTCAAGATAGAATATAACCGTTTTTTTTATGGCAAAGAAATTTTCAGAAATTATTATGGCATGAGACAGACCCACAAATTTTAGTTAAGGAGTTTTCTTTCACTGTCTCTAAGGCTCACTACCACATTTAGAACTGATCTTGTTGATTTTTTCGCTCTGATATATTCACAAATTAGACTGCGAGCTATGCTAATTTAGTATCGGTTTCTATTACAATAAGAAAATATGTTTTACAGTAGTGGAATCTAGAAACATTCCAAACCATTTTCTGAGGTCTTGTAGATACTCTATTGCATTAGAAGATATTACTAATGTGGTCAGAAAGCTCTAAAATTCTGTTCGTTGGTCACTTCAATTTTTCATAGCCAAACTACTTTTTTTATCAATTAAATTAATTTTAATTTTGCAAAAAAAAATCTCCCCTGCACAATATATCGAAAAAATCAAATTTTTTTTATCAGATATTTATTTAAAATATAATGAAAAAAAAAATTGCTCAAGCAATGAAGATAAAAATCAAAATTTAGCACCAATTTATTCTTGCTACTCGTTTTTGTTCGTATTTTAAACTCTAAATCCTATGACTCAAATATCTAAATATATTATTTAACGGTATTACGTAAACTATATATAGTTTTTGCTACTTTCTCGTAAATAAAATATTTTTTAGTTATTATGACAAGTGCACGTGACTTCATAAATTTAAACTTATTTGACTAAAAATTTTATGTTTTTAAAAAATCGCCTTAAATTTACTGACTTCTTGTATGTATGTATGCATTATTTGATTATGATCTACATAAACTTAACTAAATTATGTATATTTGTATGTATGTATGTTCACACTTCTTATACTTACACTTACACTTACATAAACGAGTACTTCTAAATACAACAGCCTTGAAGTATGCAACAATCAACACAGCATATCACGAACGTTGAGTAGCTGACAGCGTCGATGAGACTACTCTTAAATTATAATAAAGCTTCACGACAGCCATCAATGTAGACGCCTATGACACCCTGGTTATGAGCGCATCTACTGCTACTGCCAGCGTCACCTGCCGGTGATGTTCGCCTCTGTTGTTTGCTCTTTGTGTCGGTCAGCTGTGGCTCTTGTTGTTGTATTTGATGGTCAATTGAGGCACCAACCACCACTGCAACAATAATAGCCTGCGGCTGAGACGGCGCTGGAGAGTGCAGCCGGACATCTTGAATGTGCTCTTGGTAATTGGCTTGCTGTTGCTGCTCGCGCTGTTGTGCCTGTGTGTGATTTTCTTTGAGATTACATAATATACAACGTAGCAGACTGTATCTGCGATTACTGCTACGCCAGCCGCTTGTGCTTGGTCGTCGCTGTTGTTTCGGCTGTTGTTGTAGCTGCAGCTGCAGCACTGTTTGATTGGTTGTGCCGCCAACGTCACCGGCAACGCTGCCACCACCACTACCGCTACTCGCACTCGCACTAGCACTGCAATTATTGTTGTTGTTACGATACTCGGTTTCCTGCTGCATCACCAGACCATCAACGAGTTTGCACGCCAACCCCACACCACCATTCCCGTTCGCCCAATGCTGCTGTTCACCATTCGCTTTGTTGTCTACAGCCACATTGCTGGTCGCACCCATTAGTACGCCACCCCAACCGCAGAAGCCGCTACGTGCAGCCGCAACAACACTCGTCTCCTCATCGCCATATGACGGTGTCGCACGACAGCAACGCATGTGACTTCGATGCTACACATTCGTCACCTGCGTTGTCAGGCACTGCTGTTCGACGGCATGCGATTTGCTAGCCAAATCGCCACGCAGTCGACCATTTGCACCCGTGCCGCCGACGCCACCGCCGCCGCCGCCTCCCTCTTCGTCCTGGGCCACCGGCAGCCACTTGTCGAGGAACTTCGGTCGGAAGAGTTTGGTGAAGGTAGTGCGGAATTGGCGGCTCATCGAACAGTAGAGTATGAAATTGATGCTGGAATTCAGTAGCGCCAGTATGTCCATGATGTCACCTGGTTGACAAGAATGTCATGAAAAGAGAGAAAAAGGGAGAAAACGAAAAAGTTGAGTAAATAAATTATGTGTAATTAAGTCCGTATTTATGCGGAATTGAGTACAGATTGGCAGCTTATTGGCATAAATGGCAAAGTAAATTAAATTTTGCTATCCAGGGCAGCCGTAAAGATCCTGCATTGTGAGACTGTGCGGCAGGAAGTGTATTTGAGTGCGATACATATAAACGAATGAATTTCTCAATTAATGCTTATATTGGGACCCATTGAATGCTGAAGTGTTGCTAATTGCTGTAAAGGTTGAAGTGTGTGAGTGTGGGGGTGTGTGTGTGTGTGGGTGTGTGTGTGCAAAATCAAAAATATCGGATTACATAATAAGCTTTCTAATAAGCTTTTGAATAAGCTTTTGTACACTTATAACTTTGAGCAGAGTGTTGCCAACTTTTCAAAATTCAAATATATTACAATGTTGATATTTTTAAGAAAGTTAAAAAAAACTTTTTTTGTTGTGAATTATTTTAAATATTTTTAGATTATTGCCAAGTTTCCCAAATTGAATATTATTAAAATATGGATATTGCATGCAGAGCTTTAGAAAATATTTTTGGAAAAAGCTTAGCTCAGGTCTAGTTTTGTATTGGGTTTTTTTTTAAAATATTTCTTTTTTTAATATTCGAATTACAGTGGCTTATACAGTTTTCAAAAATTAAAAATTGGAAACCTATTCGTGTTGGGTTACTATCCGTACAAAAAGTTAAGAAAAAATTAAAAAGGCTAATACATAGCCAGCGCTGTGGATTAAAATTTGATAGATCTCTTGTTAGTTTTGATTTCAACTAAAAATATTATAAATAATGAAAGCAGTTTTAATCTTTGTGGCACTCATAGGAAAAAAATTGTGAAAGCTTAATCCACACTTTCCGTTGCTCTGACTAAGCTACAAATACAAAAGCCGGTCAAAGTTTTTGAATTTTTTGATTAACGCTCATCTTCTTCTCAATTACTTTAAACCTTAAAGACAGCAAGATCGCAAATAAAGGATGACGAGTTAAGAGCCATGCCCTTCGACTTGTATGCAAACTAATTCCTCAGTTTGTGAGATATATCCACAAATTTCGATATTTTTCGCGATTAAGATTTTGGTTCACAAATTTGTCAGAAAAGCATGGAATTTATTATTCCTTCATCATATGATGAAATACACAATTGGCGCTTTGTAACCGCTGAAGCTATGCCCTGGCGAGAACTTCCTTCAATTTGTGTTTAGTTTATAGTCAGCCGCCTCGGAACGGCCGATGTATTTTTTGTGAGGAGCTTTATTTCATGTCGGTAGTAGACTCGGCGGGGTTGACATTCCTTGCCGTTGTGTGACTGCAATTACAAAATTTAACTTAATTTTTTAATTAAGTTTCATGTTCATAACTTTTAAATGTTAATCATACCATGATTTGAACCCGAGCCACTCGAATGTCAGTACGCAATACTAACCACTCGGCTAATGCGACCGCAGTTCTCCTTAGAAGCAAGAAAAATGTAGAGAAAGTTCAAACATGATTTGGTGATTTCATTTTTGAGACAAACCCGGCGTTAAGACGAAAGGGCCCGAAAAAAATTTTTTTTTTTAGAATTTTTTGGGGAGGGGAAGGAATTTATTGCGGTAAACGAAATTCTCAGAAAATAATGTACTATATTTAAGCTTTAAAAAATTAATATTTGGTATCAAAAAATACTGGAATTTTCCAACGTTGTTGTGAACTCGTGAAAAGGTGGCGGTGATGGAGGTCGTGCGACATCTGAAACAGTCGAAATAATGTTTTTTTTGTATAATTTTGTGAGTGCCTCCTCTATATGAAATGAAAAAATACCGATGAAGTTGGAAAATTCCAAATTTTTTCGAAATTCGGGAAAACAATTTCACTTCAAGTGGCAAAAAAAAAAAATTGTATAAATAACAGTTTTGCCCAAATTTTAAGTTCAAATAGAACATAATTTAATAATTAAGCTTGATTTCTTAGATTTTTTTCGATGGGAAATATATTTATTTTGCTATCGCCTGCACCGTTATCTAAAACTTGTAAAAATGAAATTTTGGAAAACCGCACCACAAAGTTCTGCCCGGACTTGCTCAGTGCTCGGCCACTAAAACTGCTCTAACATATTTTTGGTTAGCACAGCAATTGGAAATGCAGATTTCGGAGCCTCTAAAGTAGTAAATACCTAGGTCTTATCATTGCCCATTCACTAAGTTTTCGTGACTACCTTGAACAGTCTGGTAATGGACGATGCAGACAGCTTTTCGCGGGAGTAGGGAGAGCACGATTTGGTACACAGCATTGGTGATCATTTGGTAAAATACAGTTGCCATAGCCTGTTGGCAGTCAATTTGAATTAATAGTGCAAAGAGAGGTGGACTCATCGTCTGATACCGAGACTAGTGGTATGCCTAAACACGAAGCATGGACAAGGAGGGCTCCATTCAACGCAAGTGCTCATATATTCCCTTTGGACAAGAAGCAGATTCATGCTGAAAAATTTGTGTTAAAAAAATATATAGAAGACGTGTAGTAAACACTTTGCGGGGCAGCATCAAAGGTTGCACGAGTCCAATTTAACGCTGGAAGCTCTAGTTAAATTCATGCAGGAAGGTGAAACTGATTCGATTGCAGCAAGCAGCAATGTAGTAAGAGTGATCTCATGAAGGTTGGGGGTTTTAGCGGGTTAAAGTTTTACGCTGAGGGGGTTAACGCTTTCGACAAAAAAAAAATACTGCTGAAATTTACCGAAATCCAAAGACTTTAGAATAACACATAACTTTCATATACCGACATGTTTTGGTTGAAACTACATCCAAAGAACATCTGATAGAAAGAAGTTTGGTATTCTACAATCTTATATTTTATATATGAAAGGTACAAGGACTTCGATATTTCGATATGATCAACGACAACCTTCCTTCTTGTTTTCTTTTAAGGAATAAAACAGTAATAGTCGCTTGGTGAGTAGACCAGAGCTTAAGTCCTGGTTCAATTAATATCCCAATCAGAGAAAACTTATTTTTCTAATTGTGGTTGACCTTCGGCAGGGCATAACAAGCCTTCCGAGTGTATTTTTGACATGAAAATCAAAGTACCTCATAATAAAACTGTCAGCCGTTCGGAGATCGCTGAGACTAAAATATTGATATGAAAAAAATTTCCATTTCGGCTATAAATTCAGTAATTAAATATTAGATTAAATTTCCATCAAGGCTACAAATTCTGCCCTGCCACTGCCACTGCTTAAATAACACATCAAATATTTCAACGAAAATTTTAAGTAATTATTTGTGCACAAATATTCACACAAACTAAATGTAAATATTTTACATATTTGCCACGCTTAAATCTCTAATGAATGAGTAAATTATTCACTGAGAGCAGAAAATAAAGCTTTTACCGAATTCTGGTAAACATTAATAGAATTTCTGGTAATTTTACATAATGCAAATAATTATTTATGCATGTGCATTTATTTAATAAAGGGTTAACAAAATATGCACATAACTAAAATAACTACATTTAATATGTGCTTGTTGCGCGCCCCAAATGTATGCAACACAACACAACACAACAGCACATCACAGCACAGCATGCATGCACATTTCGAGCATTTTTTTTTTGTGTTTGTGAAGGTCTGGCTGTCGTCTGCCACTGATCACCAGCTGCTTGAGTGCCTCACAGCGGCTACCAGCACAAAACAACCGACGGTGGTGTGTGTACACCACGAGTGGTCAACTTAATTAAACAACATACTCGCTACAGGCATGTTAATCATACGCCATGCCGCCACGTGTGCTTGAGTGTGGGGGAGTGTACAGACCGCTGGGCAGCTAGGCAGGACAGCAACTTATGCATGTTTAATAGGTTGTGAACACGCGCCAACATGTTACATACGAATAACAATATGTGTACATACATACATACATACATACATACATACATACATAGCTATTGGTTGGTGAATATTCAAAAAATATTGCTATAAAGCAAAAATTAATTATCAATATCTGTGATAAATAAATTTATGAGTGTCTACTAGTATCAAACGTCCATATACTACATATTTACATGCATAATATTATATTCGCTATAAAGCAACAACAAATATTAATTGGAATTTCGGCAAAATTCGCTCAACCACTTATGTTAGTGTGCGTGTAAGTGTGTGTGTGTTGTGCGAAAAACATGCACATAAATATAAAACTTGTAATTCAGTCAAAATGAGCACTCGTGTTTAATGCCCACACAGGCGCTCGTACATACATGTTGATGTTTGTTTATATGCATACCAACTTGATTACTACGGTATTTATTGGATTAAAATTGTTGTCTACCAGCAACGAGTTTAGTTAGTTGCTAACCTCCAAGTAATCAACACGAGATATCCAAACGTATGCTTACATACTTGCTTACAGACATATTTCTATTGTATTTGTATGTGTTTCACAATGGGGTAAAAGCGCTTAAAACATGCGCAATGCTTATTTTATGCTGTGATTTCTGTGCTATTGATGATACTTTTTTAGGCCTGGGCATTTGCTGTACAATTGTTCAAGGAATCGAACGCTATACAAATTTTTATACATACCCTTACTGAAATCTTACTGAGACTGACATCCTACGGTCGGAACTTAAGGTTTTTTACAAAATCTGCTTATTAAAAAATGCAAATATTGGGTTGCCGAAAAAGAGACCGGAGATTTTTCATACAGACGGCGTTGACAATTTTTTTGCAAAGCTTATGACTGTTAACTCCATTTTTATTTTCAAAATCTACAACCTTTTACTTTTAGCTGGCTTTAGAAAAAAAGCACGTGTTATTCTATTTATATTTGTTTGTTTGGCGTCAATTTCAATATGGAGCCCAGGAAAAAATATTTTCGCCATATTTTACTTTATTATTTCCTTAAAGGTAAAAATGCAGCGTAAGTTGCTAAAAAATTGCACAATTTGTATGGCGAT